TTCACACGGATTTTGAATCTTGCGTTTTGCGTGTGTTCATTGTATTTTGTAATAAAATATTAACTTCAGAGTAACTCGTAAAACTACCGAAATCTAAAATTAGGCATTCGAAATACTTAGAACTGTTACAAGCAACAAGTGAAAATGAGCTCTTGCAGCTTTTCTTTAGCTAAAGACAAGGTGCTCATATGAGAGACCTTTGCAAACTAGCTGACATTTAAACGGGAATTTGCCGACTCTCTAGACAGTGACGAGATTATCGCCATATTCAATTCCCAGCCCCGACGCCTACGTCTGGTCTAGAAGGCCAAAACCTCACAACAGAGGTAGGCACTGCTTGTTTTTTTGTGTATCCCCCGTGGCACAATGGCGTTCGGCAGCCTAGGTAATTGTTGCTTAACTTGTGTGTGTCTGTGAGAGAGAGAGACCGACAACACTGTCGGTCTCTCTCTCTCTCACAACACAACAACTCTTGGCAACACTGATTGTACCCATCGGCCATGCTAATAAAGCACCTTGAATTCAATTGAATTGAATTGACCGTATGTATATAAACATAAGGTTCCGCTAATTCTGCTGTTTGATTATAGCGCTCGAGGATTGCATTGTAAATTGGAGGGGTGTCCCTATGCTGGGAGTCAGTTAGAGCCCGGAGCACCCACTACGCCCCTGCCTGAGACGTTTAACACTCGTCCCTTCCCCGCTCTTTCCTTCAACTTGGGCAGAGACGCTTTCTCATTTTCCATGTTCCCCAACAAGCCACTCTCTATTCATCTGTGATTTCCTGTGACGCAAGAGGTCTCGCTGCACAACACACGAACAGTCCTTCCAGGTCACGCAAAGGCTGTTGTAGCGCTATTTGAAGTAGCGTGAAGCTAGCGATGAGTGTGTGGGTATGTCGTGCAGCGTCTCTCAATGGACTTGTTGTTTACAAATAAATTACTTGGAAAACAAGCTGTAGTGGCGACATCACGATATTCTGTCTATTCCCGGAATACGAGATGCTGAAGACAGAGAAGATCCTTCACCTCAAGAGCTCCCGCGGTCGAAAGGTCCGTGTCGTGCGGGAACATTATTTGAGAGAATATGTACCTTGCTACAGCTCTCTGTGCCAGGCGGACTGCAACAACGGTAACGTTATTGTTTCTCGATTTGTAAATGAAACGAAGACAAAACTGGATACAAAACACCCTTTCCAGCATATCGTTTCCGAAAAGCTGTCTCTCCTGTAAATATGTAGATCTGCCGTTTGCGTACTGAGAAAAACACGAAGCAAGCTTGTGATCAGTCTCTCTGTATTCCCTCTTTTCCCTCGTCCAGGAAACTGTAAAACAATCTTAACGCGTTATGTGAAAGTAAAATGAAAAATAGCAGTCTGTGCAGGTACAGAAATCCCCTGGCTTACTCTCCGCAGCGCGCTGGCCGG